CCCCCCAAAACCCCAAAAAAAAATGGGATGAAGTTCAGCGGTGTAAGAACCCCCTGAAAGTGGAAATATCCCCCCAAAGGCCCTTCCAAACGAGACGTCATGTTGTTTTACAGTACGAATGTTCTTTTTCTACCCTTGAAAGAATTTTAGACATTTCGTTTGTTCGATTTGGCGATTTTACCCACCCCTTATAGTCGATATGTCGGAATAAAAAGAAATCAAAGTCGATTTACCATCCGTTCCCCGTTTTTTTTTGACGAGTAAACATCAGAACAGTGCATATTTATCTTCATTGATATCATTCCCCTATAAATATTGAGGCAGTAATCCTGATTTACTGTACGATATGAACATTTACTGCATGGCAACATACCAAAGATTACAATAATTCATTCTAAACGGTAAAGGTGTGCGTGTATAAATGTCAGAGAGAGCGAAAAAGGGGTTTGGAATACTGTGAATTTCATTCAAACACCCGTCTATCGCTATTTTACCGCGGTGTATTGTCGTGCACCGCACGAACGGCCGGATTGTCAATCCTTTTCTATACATTTCTCAGTATTGTTAATAACATCGCAAATAGTGGCTGCATCTAGAACGGATACGTTTTGATATCCCCATCGACGAATGGCAGCAGCCCCATTCACCCCACGTTGGGCATTCGAGGCGACCAAAAATATTTCCGTTTGAGATTTTCGCTCTGGGAGAATGGGAAGCGCCGCTCCGGAGAGAATATCATGAACATGCAAAACAAGAACGGCGCGCGAGTTTAATGGCTCGTGTTCTCGTTCGGAGCGATCGCGTAAATCAATAATGAACGCCTCTGGAAAGGGGGTCTCTTCATTTATTTGTAGGGCTTTCATGATTTTTTCTCGCATTGATGCCTTCCCGAGACTCTTTTCATCGTGTAAGGAGGTGTACGAGCTTAAAAAAGACTCGCCACTCTCCAGATTAGGGTAGCCTTTGAGTAAATACTGCCTCCCGTAGCGTTTGTTTAGGTTGGACACCTTCCATGCTGTTTTTGGAATCCATTGCGCCATGGGCTAATGAAAACGTCTTGACGTTGTTTCTAAACCACTACGGAAAAAAAAACAAATTATAATAAGCAAGACTGATACGGAAAGGAGAAATACCCCCCCCCCCCCACACACACA